CACACACACACACGGTTCATCACTGCGGTCATCACTACGGTCAGGGTCTCAAGCTCTGGCCATAACCCCAGCCATTTCAAAAACCAAGAAGGCAAAGAAAAACAAAACCCGACCATCGGCAGATCACGAACAGCGACTTCAGAAACCCTTACCTAAAACGGCGACCACCCAAACGAAACATCTGTCCACCAAGATCACCAGAAGCCGCCAAAACAGGGCGCTATCAATAATCCCGCAAGGTCGACTGCTTCCATAATCAGCGCCGCAACATAGATCAGTTGCACAACAGTGTGCCGAAATCACGGTGCTCCACCACTACTGCACCAAAAGAAACACAACCACAATAGCGTCCCAATCCAGCGAAAGCGACCTCCCCACTTGACTGTTGACCCCGCAAGTCAACAACAGTCGAATCCATGCTATGTATCTGAAGATCAGGGGGCTACAACGCCCCTCCCAATCTAGCTCCATCTCTGGTATACAGCGGCAACCATATCCCACCTTCCGGTCCTCCCGACATTCTAACCACTCCTTTCAAGACCAGCAAGGACTACCAACAACATCGGCCAGGTCCAGCCATGGCCGAGTACCCGCCAGGAAGTCGCGAACCTCACCCCCCCTCTCGCCCACGCCCGCCGCCACACCTCATGAGCTTCCTGCCATGCCGACAGCAGGGTCTAGCTGCTGGCGTTAACACCACATCGCGTCGCGCCGCCCCGCGATCGCCCGCTGATCAGAATTCCTCACCGAATCGGAGATAAAAAAGAAAATAACCAAATCACACTTAGGCACCCCCCTTTAAACCACCTTAGCCCCTTTAAAACAAATTTATACCCCCCTTTCCTCCCCTTGTGCAATCAGACTCAACTCTGGACTTGCTCACAACATGCACACTTGAGAACCGATGGCAAGACTGAACTCTTTCAACTCAAAAAAAAACAACAATGAACTTGTCTTAAACTCAATCTTAACAGCTGCACAACTTGAGGCTATGGCCACCGAACACGGTCTCTACCACCAGCCTCACTCTCTCCCTTACTGTCTCATGCGTGCACGTACGAGGATCACCCTGAATGTCCCCACTCAGCACAGCCTCACACACTCTGAACACTTGTCTTCACCAACAGCTGGGCGGCTATGGCCGTCGTCGTCTTCCTCCTGCTGGCTATGGCCGCCGACATCTACCCCACTGGCCAGCTATGGCCGCTGTCTTCTTCACTGCCCACTTCATCTCCAGGCACCTGCAGACCTCCATGCACAAGACACCAAGGCAGCTCTTCCGCATGGCCCACAGGCGAATGAATGAATGGCTGGACGCTGCCTGTTTATTTATACTTCTTCGGAGGTACCCGGACCCTGCCTCCAGACCTGTGGGCCTGGGCCAAAACGTGTGGCCCAGGGAAGCTTCCAGACGTTTGGCCTTCTGGGCCAAAACGTGTGGAACTCTCTGCATGCTCCAGAACCTTCCCCACGTGCAGCCCTTACCCAGGTACATGCTGGCTGGACCCCCCCTACAGAACCCTACGGACTTCTGGAACCTACAGACTCTACAGACTTTCGACAGACTCAGTAGAGACTTCTAGAACAGGCTTTCTAGGCCTATTGGTAACAGACCTAGCTGCTAATCTACAGACCTAGGGATCAAGTGCTACTGACCAAACTACAGACTAACCTAAGTCGTAGGACAGGTTTGGGGATCGAATCCTACTCAGGTCACAGGGTCTACGTACAGGTACAGGGTACGTCTAGGGATCGAATCTCACTCAGCACACAGGGTCAATGTACAGGGTTAGGGCACAGGTCTAGGGATTGAATCTCTGTGACTGCAGTGCAAGGTCAACTGGGTGAAACCGTTTCACTCCCGCCGTCCTAAATTCGACGTCCTCCGAGAACCCTCTAACTCAAGGCAGGACCTTTACCTTTTCTTTCCCTCTCGTAGGCGTGTACTATGTCGGGAGCGGTTTTTAAAAGCTTTGTTCTTGTAAACCACCGGTCGTCCTCGGGTTCCTGGTATGCGAACCTAACTTTGTACTGTTTCTCGGTTTTTAAAAGCTCTGTCCTAAACACGTCCTCTTCCGCAATGCCCTCTATATCATACGCGCCATCCATGTCTAGAGGAATTATCGACCTTCTGGAAGGGAACCTGTCAGACGTGGTGCAAGGTAACAACTTAGAGGCGTGGAAGACTGGGTACGTGTGGAGGTGTGCTGGGATCTCTATCGTATACGACGGGCCGTCCTCTCCTCCTTTGACTTCTAGGACAGGCCACGATCCTCTATATGCAGGTGAGAGCTTCTGCGAGATGTTTTCCTCCGGTGCGAACTCCTTTGACTTGACCCAGACTAGGCACCTACCTGAAACTGTGAAGGTCGGCGGTGCTTGTTAGCCTGCTATATCATGCGGTGTTGGGCCTTCCTCAGGTTGTCTGATGGAGTGCAAACTCTCGAGTACCGGGAGGAAGTCTCTAGATTTGATCCCGGTTTAGTCCTTCTAGTGGTCGCCTAGGTTTAAAAGACTTGTGTAGCTCATTAGGAGTCTGACAAGTAGCTAAGTGAACGTTGTTGTTGTAGGCGCTTGCCACTTTGGGGAGCAACTCGTCCCAATCTAGCTGATCTGGTCTAATGTCCATTCTGAGTAGCTGTTGCAAGATCTTATTCATCTGTTCTGTCTGACCGTTAGTCTCGGGGTGTCGTCCTGACGACATCAACAACTTAGACCCGTATACTTTCATAAGATCTTGCCAGTTTTGGCTGGTAAACCGGGTGTCCCTATCACTTACTATGGACAATGGCATATGCTCACTTACCCAGAAATCAAAGAACTTCCTTATAACTAACTCTGTACGGGCCTCTGAAGGCAAGGGAACAAATACTGCATACTTACTAAATCTGTCTACTATGACCATGACTTGAGTTTTTCCATTTCTGCTTTTGACTCCAGTATCCATGAAGTCAATGGACACTGAATCTCCGGGCCCGGAGGGAATAGGCAAGGCTCTAAGAAGACCCAGGGGGGCTCTAGTCGTAGCTTTATTACGCTGACACACTTTGCAACTGCGCACATATTCTATGCAGTCTGCTTTCATGCCTGGCCACGTATAGGACATCATCAGGTTAGCTAAAGTCTTCTGCCATCCAAAGTGCCCTTCTGTATCGTGGCATTCCCCTAAGATCAGACTACGGATCTCTTCACTATTGGGGACGCATAGCCTGTCAGCGACATTAGTCTTTTCAAACAGTAGCCCATTCGTGGTCCGGTAGTGTGGCTCACTATCTAGGGCTTCCCTTACTCTTTTGAGCAGCTCACTGTAGATTGGGTCCTGTGCATAGGCATCTGTTACTTTCTGCTGCAGATCGGCCCCTATGTCTAGATAGTGTACTATCGCACCGAAATCATCAGATCTCCTACTTAGCGCATCAGCTACCACGTTGTACTTGCCTTTAACGGGTTTTAACTCAAAGTCATACTGGTCTATCTCAGCAGCCCATCTGGTCAACTTGGGCGTCATCTTGGCCTGTGTCTTTAGCCATCTAAGAGTCTCGTGGTCTGAATAAACCTTGAAGTGCCTCCCAAGCAGGTAGTGTTTCCAGTGCTCTAGAGCCTGCCTGAGAGCGTAGAGCCTGCCTGAGAGCGTAGAGTTCCCTCTCGTATGTCGATGCTGCGACTTTCTCTGAAGGCAGCCTGGCTGACATGAACTCTACGGGCCTATACCCGTTGCYGTCATCTTGCTGTAGAMYGGCACCTATGCCATACTGACTCGCGTCTGTAGTAACAACAAATGGCAATGATGGATCGGCAACTTTGAGAACAGGGTACTCTATCAAAGCCTTCTTCAATTTTTTGAAAACTGATGTACAATCCTGATCCCACTACCAGATAGCTTCTTTCTTCAATAGTCTACGAAGGGGAGCAGCGATCGTAGAGAAGTTCCTCACGAACTTCCTGTAGTAGTTAGCCAGTCCTAAGAAAGAACGCAACTTAGTTAGTGTCTTAGGAGTTGGCCAATCTCTGATGGATGCTATCTTGCTGTCCTCAGGCCGAATGCCATCGCCGTCTAGTACATGGCCTAGGTAAAGGACCTGTGTCTTGGCCCATTCGCACTTCTTCGGGTTAATCTTAAAGTTAGACTCTCTTAGCTTACTTAGAATCTGCCGTAGATGGCCCTCATGTTCCTCGAGGGTCTTGCTGAACACTAGGATATCGTCTAGGTAAACTACGACGAACCTATCTAGCCAAGGTCTAAACAAGTCGTTCATACAGCGTTGAAATGTTGCGGGTGCATTAGTAAGTCCAAATGGCATCACTATGAACTCGTAATGCCCATACCTTGTCCTGAACGCCGTCTTATACTGATCGTCAGGGTGGACCTCTATCTGATGGTACCCTGATTTTAGATCTATCTTCGAGAAATATCTGCACCCCTGAACTCGATCTAGCAAATCATCTATACGCGGTAATGGTTGTGCATTCTTAATCGTGATGGCGTTCAGTCCCCTGTAGTCAATACACATGCGCAACTCTCCCTCCTTCTTTGGGACAAACAGAACAGGTGCACCGAACGGCGATGAACTAGGCCGGATCCATCCTTTTTCTAGGAGCTCATCTAACTGTCTGCGTAGCTCCTCTAACTCTTTGGGAGACATCCTGTAGACTGCCCCCTTTGGCGTTCTACTGCCAGGTTCTATTTCTATTCGGTGTTGGATCGGTCTGGGCACTACCCCTGAAGGTGGTTCAGATAGATCCTTATATTCTTCCAGCAGACTGGCAATAGCAGGATGGATCTTTTCTTCCTCCTTAGGCTGATCGAACACTGGCCTAACATAGGCCACGAACACCTGCTCTTCAAGCTGCTCCTTTCGCACAAGCCAGGCGAATGCAGGAGCGCTGAGGCAGCAATGGGCAAGGGGATTATCTACCCCGGACTCATGCAACATGTGGACTTTCTTGACTTCGCCTGACGCACTAGGGAGCGTACACTCATGCTCTCTAAGGTGAAGTGTGGCTCCTGCTGCCTCTCCCCAATCTGTGCCTAAGACTACGTCAAACGGGAGACTCACTTCTACAAGGAGGGTCAGGGAGTGCAGTACCTTCTCTACCTTGCCATCTTTCTCCAAGCGAAAGTAGGCGTGAACCCCCTCAACATACTCTTCGACGCGCATCCTACTATTGTCTGCGAGGATGCTGACCACAGGCTCTTCTAGTCGTTGGACCTGTCGGTTCAACTTCAACTTCCTCAGCGCTTTACGACTAATATAGCTCCTAGTTGCCCCGCTGTCTATGAGGGCTCCTACTCTAGCTCTAAATATCTCTACATCTGAGAGGATTAGTTGTCCTTTACTATCCTTCTTCATCTTGGCCCAGGCTTGCCTCCTCTCTCTCTGTTCATCGACTAAGCCTGTGAGGGAAGCGCCTAAAGAGACCCTAACACAAGCGATCTCTGGACAGCTTACTAGTCGCTGGCCTGCAACCTCTGCCATGGAAATATGTGGAGTGGGAGACTCTACTTCGCTGGCACGCTCAGATCCACATACTCCTGAGGTAGGGGCAGTTACAACCCCTACCGGCGACTGTCTTTTGCTGCCCCAGATGCAGCACGGTCCCTATACTTAGGACAAAATTTGATAATGCGGCCCGGGTCCCCGCAGAATACGCATTGAAAACTATTAATGCGTTCTTGCCATACCCTTTGATCTATACCCAGGTCTAACCAAGGTCGGCCTTCAGGCCGGCCTGGATGCCACCTTCCTTGTCTGGGAGGTGACCGACTAGAACTCGAACGGTTAGACGGGGGACCTCCCCTTCCTCCCGCTTGGCGGTTGCCATAGCCGCCAACCCCCTGGCCGCCCTGCCTCGGCCACCCGGGGCCCGACCACTTGGGCCGGACCGTTGTCCTCCTTGCGGCCTCCCTCCAGCCGCGACAGCAGCGTAGGCTCTGCCCTGGCCTGCGTTGTTGTCCTCCTCTAATCCCCACTCGATGTCAGAGTAGGGAACCTCCTCTGCACCACCTTCCTCCATTGTTAAGATCAGACTATCTTTGGCGTTGATTTGGCCTGAGATGGTGCGTCCCTTCCACGTTTTTCCCTTAGACAGATCCTTGTGCCAGAACGTGGTAACTGGCGACGCTTGGGCGGCAAATGCAACTGCCTCCCGACTAAGTGTATCGTAAGTCATGCCCTGCTGATTCTTCTTCTCGAAGAAGTGTCCCTGAATATTTTCAGGCAGGGCGCGGGTTAAGGAGTTGCACATCAGTGACTCCATGCCCAGGGACCGCAATCAGTTCGTCCATAGCGGACTTTAGCGCATGCACACTCTTCCACTGGCGAGTGTGGATCATTTGGAGTTTGTCTGAGGCCTTAAGGCCCCACGTGACATCAGAAAATCGCTCCCTGAGGGCTTTCAGAAAGTCGGAGAGGGGTGTCAGTCTGGAGTATGTAACCATATCGTTATCGCAGTAGGCAGCGCGAGCTAGCGACCGAGCAAAGCTAGTTGCTTCGTCTCTAAGGGCCTAGAAGGCCACCAAAGTGTGGTCTTCAGGTGTGACTCCCTGCAGATACAGATAGGAGTGCACAATGGCCTCCCAGTTATCAAAATCTTCACCCTTCTTCCCACTGAAGGGTTCGGGAAATCGGACCTTGACTTTCTCGCGACGTGGTGGGGCCAGCTCCTCTTCCTTAGGGGCCGCTAGCTTGGCGTCTTCAATGGCGCCAGTACAAAACTCTCGGGTCCTATTAATCGCAATGTGCACTTCGGTCAGCACGTGTTTCATCATGTCGCACGCGAAGTCCTTGAACCCCGCGCGTATCGCGTCTATCTTGATGTCTTGACTGCGTTCGTACTGCATTTGTTCCCGCTGTGCGACTAGTAAAGCCTCTACACTTTGGATCAGCGTATCTAGCTTGGTTGCTAGCTCAATCTCCACTCGGATCTTCCCCATCCTAACTTTCGCCGCTCTTAGGTCCTTGTCCGCCCTCTCTGCCGCTTCCAATCTCCTGATCCTTTCTTGGGATAATCGGTGTCTCCACGCCATCCGCTGTTCCTCCTTTGCCCCTCTCTTTACTGGATCCCTCTCTGCTTCAATTTGCCTCCTTGCTGCTTCTCTTTCTTCCTCGGGTACAGCCATCTCAGCCTCCTGGTCTTCCCCTAACTTCAAATGTGCGGCCCACTCCTGCGCCCTTTCCGCAATCTCCGCTTCTTTACTTGTGCTTCCTCCTCTTCTCCTCTCTAGCAGTCTTTCTTCTTCTTCTTCTTCCACTTCTTCTTTCTCTTCTTCTTCTTCCGCCTGAATAGCTGCCATCTTCTCCTCCTGCTCCTTCTTCCGTCTTTCCATCTCCTCCTGCTCCTTCTTCGATCTTTCCATCTCCTCCTCCATCTACCTCTTCTTTGCTTCCTGCTCCTCCAGCAGCGCCAACATCTTGGCCTGTCTGATTAGTTCCCTCTTCTCCATCTTCTCTTTCTTCTCACGCAGAAGGGCGGCAGCTCTCTCCTCCTGCTTTTTGTTGTAGGGGGTGGTAACGGTTCCGGATCTAAGGGTCACCATGTTGACAGCGCACAATAAACAACAATTCCACACCTCAACACTTGGACCGAACAGGTTACTTCTACTTCGGGGATTTGGTTCACTACCCGAACTGAACTCGCGTTCTATGACCACACACAGAGTCCTAACACCCTAGACAGTAGTGACAGGGAAATAGGACTGACTGTCCTTGACAAACTCTATGTCAGCAAGTACCGGGGTGAAGTTACACACTCACGGGGTAAGGGATAGGCCAGGCTTGGGAAGATAGTACCGTTTGTCTTCTTGCTCCAGCTGGGTCAACGCTCCATCAACGGACTTGGTCAACTTCGTCGGTCAACGCTCTTGGTCAATGCGCTAGGCAGCTCCGGTCAATGCTCAGTCAACGCCCTAGACAGCCCGGTCAACACTGGTCAATGCCTGGTCAACACCCGTGGTCAACCTCGGTCAACATCTGGTCAACTTTCCCGGTCAACCTTTTGACCTCCCGGCTATGGTGGACCTCCTTCTCCTTCACCTCAGCTATGGCTGATCTTGTCTCCCTCTTCGTCACTGTCTTCTTCCTTTCTTCTCTCTGCGTCTCTTCTTTCTCCCTTTATGATGTTGGTCTTCTTCCCCGAACTCGGCAGCTATGGCTACTGTCCCCCTTCCTCTCTCTTCCTCTTTCTCTCTCTCTCTTACTATCTCTCTCTCTCTCTTACTATCTCTCTCTCTCTCTCTGTGCCAAGCTCAGGCTATGGCGGCTTCTTCCTTCTTCCTTGTGTGCTGCAGCTCCGCCGGCGTGGACAACGGGTACCTGCTCCGATACCAGTGCAATCAAACTCAACTCTGGACTTGCTCACAACATGCACACTTGAGAACCGATGGCAAGACTGAACTCTTTCAACTCAAAAAAAAACAACAATGAACTTGTCT